TTGCTGGCTGTAGCAGCGCTATAGCGCTGCTATAGCGCTGCACAGCAAAAACGCATAAAAAATCAATCATGCACCTACTTTTGAAGAGAAGAAAAATACGTACGCTCATATGTGAACTTGCCAAAACGGCTAAAACAATGAGGCTGACGCAAATATAGCACTGCATACATGCAAAAAATCGCTCATCTAGAACGACTCTATGGAAGTATGGCAATGTAAAAAGCCCAGAATAGAGAAGAATGGAGAAATTGCCAACTGCATCAACAATGGCAAGAAGAAATGCGACAATCAAGCAATAGCTGATCAACGTAAAAATATAAGCTATATGCTATGAATTTAGTAAAAATATAAGCTACGAATTTCTTCAAAATTCAAAAATGTTTAAATTTCAAAAAATGTCTTATAGAAATGTGTAAAAATAAATCTAAAAAAGACAAGAAAAAACATCCTGGAAACTCACACGTAGCACAAATTCCACTGTTCCGGGAAAAAATGGAGCAGTACTTGCTTGATCAGCTGCAGTTCCCAGTATGGCTTTTCAACTATGCAGCTTTTCCAACTGGCTCGGTTTTTTTTTGCTGCTTCGCCGGGTGGGCATTTTGCTGCTGGCAATCCTGACGTACACTCCTAACTGAAAGAACAACTTAACGGTTCTTCCCTCAGAAGCATGTTGCGAGACTTTAGCCATTTCGAGATGTCAAAGGTCCGTAACGAGCATTTGCCGCTCCTAGATAGCGATGAGGTATCGACCAGAAACACATTTACCTATATTTACTCAAATTTCTTATCTCCTAAGGGTCGCATTTTTGCATATTCTGACACCTGAGAATCACTATTTCTCGCCTTCATTCAACGCATTCATCATCTTCTCGGTTGTACATTTATTCAACTGCAAAAGTCATCTGAGCCGTTTTTTTTCCACCGTTCCGCGTAATTTTGCATCCAATAATACTAATTCGATGCATATTCCCCTCTTTCAGGTAACCTTTGGGTGTCAGAGGGATTGACAGCTTAACTAAACGGCCAAGATCAAACCAAAATCGTCCGGAAACTGCGGCTGTAAGAATTCGATGTTAGTGATGTTACTGGGACGCACCCCAATTGCTTTGGGTCGTTGGCCAAAACTACGTCCTACGAACAAAACAAAAGCAACTACGATAACAAAGCAAAAAAAA